TATTGTTATTGATTTCATTTTCTTCGAAGTATTCGATTTGCTAATTATATTTTCTCTGCAATTGCGATTTTACTACGTTTCTGTAATACACCTGCAAACATATTTTATAAGAGTCTATCTAATAGTAAGTGAAAATGTTTAGAAATTTTCTTTGTCATTCTCAATCAGTATAACTAAAGCGTATGCGTATATGCAAAACACTAATTAGAATAAATGTTGTCTCTCTTACCTTGAGAATTTAAATAAATATTTAGCAAGAAAGTCAACGCTGAAGAATTGAGTCGAGTCTGTATCTACAAATAGTACCTACTTATGTACAGTATGGTGGAATAAAAAATATTTTTTTTTAGAAATGTGCAGCGTGTTGTGGTTCCAATATTTAAACGAATTTTAGTTAATTTTTATGTAATTATGACGCAGTGGTGACGTAGACGTTCTGAAAATGTCTTTATGTATATTCACTAATTTTTGGAACGTTAATTCAATCCTTCCTTCTTGTCGATACTATCAATTTTTGATGTATACAATTTTTGAATGGAAGACATTTATTAAAAAACAAAAACACGCCATTTAACTGGATTGATTGAAGTTCACAGATCCCTCTATAGGACCCTGCTAAATCCTTACAGAAAATAGTCCTTTATGAAACTCTTTGAAACTTTGGATTCTGCTAGTTTCAAGTCGTAACAAATCTTCTTTTGGAGATATGGTTCCTCAAAGTTGCATTTTTCCATAAGAACTTCTGATGTAGGTACCATTATGACTATTATACGTATTGAATACGTTAAAGTATAAATTGATATATTAATGTATTATCCCTATGTGTATTACATATTATGTATGTGTCATGGTTTCAGACTTAGAATGGTAAATACACTCTGCAAGAGTGTACTAGTAAGAGAAAGAAAGTTGGAGTTCTCAGAACACAGAATTTATTGTTTACAGTTTTATGCGGTAACTACACTTTTAATTTTCATACCTCGTATAAACTATAGGTTTTGCAGAACAAACAGAATAGCTCAAAACGCCAACGCCAAAACACGACACTGTAGTTGTCCGAAGCACTTTTCGGTAACAAAGTTACCTTCTTCAGGGACTGAAGTAAACTAGTTTACATCAGCCTACCCCATAACTTTCTCGTCTAGCGACTTATCCTATATCCTAAATATGTCAACATGTTATACAAAAATCGTTTCACACATAACAGCGTTTTTAACAGGAATGTGTTTGGGGTTCCACTTCTTATGTCGTTAGTTGGGGTCTATCCATGACTAAATGGTCCATATTTCAACTTACATGATCTACACGTGGAGAGTTACCATAATCCAAAGTTTTGACAGAGGATCATTTTCCATATGGATCTAGCGGGGTCCATTGCATCGACCGAGCGGCATGGCCTAGAGGTCTAGACCATTGCTTAGCATTCGGGATCGGTTCGATTCCGGGTCCGTCTGCCTTGGTCCAAGTTTTTCTGTGGTTTCCTTGGATCACTTAGGCAAATGCTGAGGCAGTAATATTCCACAGATAATCTNTCTAATTGCATTTCGCAAAGAAGTACGTAAGGGATTTTCCATGAATTAAAAACTTAATTGTATGAGTATTTTATACGAAAATTTTCACCGAAAAAACTTTTCACAATATATGCCTATCATTTTCAAAAATATCTATATTTGGAAAATCCCTGCGTACTTCTCTAAGTAGTGTTACAGAGCGCTTCATTTTGCTGAAGAAAACATACGAAAAAAAATTTTTTATAGCTTATTTATACACATACAGCCCGTTTTTACCCTTTTAGTGGTTAAATTTTGTAAACACGCTGAGATAGATGTTTGGTTAATTATATCAAAGATCATTGGGACTAATGAGTGTCAAGAAAATCTGACCACTATCGAAAATGTTCCAGACAAACTTTGCCATCTATTTTCACTCCCTTAGGTGTTGAATTTATATTATTAAATTGCATTAATAGTAATTATATCCTTCCTTATTCCTTGTATACATTATAAAGGAAACCTCTGCAAAATTTCAGTCATCTATAAGTCGAAGGGTTAAGCCTTCACGTTGATGAGTCGGTGATCAGGACTTGTTTGATACGGGATATGTATATATTACCTCCCCCAATTTCATGCAAAAAATTGTCAAAAATGCAAATAATTTTGAGACTTCTACTGGGAGGATACCCCTTAAGATAATAACGTGCTGGTTTCTTATTTTTAAAGAAATTAGTTTAGATTGACGATAATTAATTTTTTCGAAATGTGTAATTTACAAATAACAGAAGTGTAATTAATTTAGTTAGTTGTTGCATCTTTAGTCTTATTTTGTATTAGAATAGGTAGTATCTAATATACGAGGGGGCGTTTTTAAGTTCGCGTAATTGGAAGTGGAAGAAGTGGAAATAAAAGTACGATTTTATTTTTCCTTTTCAATATACGTATATGCACCTGCTACCCTTATACATTTTTCCGATCTTTCAATTTACCTACGTATACCTTCGAAAAAAAAAATGATTTGTCTTTTTCTGAAAAATACACCGAAACTGCATTCTTCACTTTGAAAATTTCTTTCCACGAAGATTTTTTTTCAAGTTTGGGAATAGGCAATAATAGCCGGGAGCTAACACAGGACTGCAGGGTGGGTAAGCCAAACTTTCGAAGCCCGCCTTCTGCAGGGCAGTCACCGCAACACGGCTCTTGTGAACAGGCGCCTTGTCGAGCAGAAGGAGGACACCCTTGGTCAATTTTCCTCTTCTGTTTTCTTTGACTGCTTCCTTTAACTGCTCTAGGATTGAAGCATTGTATATTTTCCGGTTATGGAGACACCTTTATCTTTATAATCGATCAACTGGAACCCTTCTGAGTACCAAAACATTTTCCCAGTAGACCTAAGACACCTTAAAGTTCTTGGGTGGTGGTGTGTCTTTTTTGTGCCAAGTAAATCTGTTTGGACTCACGTTCATAATGATGAGCCCAAATTTCGCTACCAGTAACAATTCGAGTCAATACTCCATCATGCCAAGATGATCATGAAGAATTTTAAAAATAGTTGTGTCTGATACTCCTACCATTTCTGCGAACTGTTTCTTCTTAAGTCGGGCATATTTTAGTATTTATTTTTCGACTTTTTGAATGATTTCCGGAGTGGTCACCTCGATCGGCCGGCCTGGCCGTAGGTCGTCTTTAAGTGAGTCCCTGCCTAGCTTAAAGAGGGAAAACCCATGGTTTTACCTGGACACGAGTCCCCGTAAACGGATTACATCACTTCCAGTATGGTTTGAACTGATTTTCCTCGCTTCGGAAGGAACTTTATAACGACATGGTACTCAATTTTCTCCATATTTCACAATTACGATATATACTAAAAATGAGTTGTTTAATTCGTAATGACTCGTAAGTACCCTCACTAATGACCCACCTACCCATTCCGCGAAATTAAAAACGTACCCTCGTACCTACTGTGAAACTGCATGAGCTGTCGCCTCTAACAATTCATCAGAGCGTTTGGTTTACTTTTGTTTAACGGGTTTCGTAACTAATTAGTCATGATACAGAAAGTTTTAAGGTACTCTTTTGTCATTTTGTAAGCGTTATGAAACCGTGTGGTACGACAATCATTTACCGGCTCGAAAAAATTATTCACAGTTTCTGTCCTATTTACCATAAAAGTTAATCTTTTTGAACGAATACATATCTACGAATATTTAAAACAAATTTTAAATACTCAGGCAGCCATCTAATTTCTTAATTTAAATAGCGGTTAGTTGCTACTCTTATTTTAACATTAACTTGCTTTTCGCAAACATTTTCAAATAGTGGAAATTTGTAAGAAAAACTTAGTTCTGATGGATGAAATAAAAAAGAAGCGTTCAATATATCACTTAATGCTTTTAAAAATGTGATGTGTATTTTTTGACGAACAAATGTATTCTTGTTGGAAAAACTTTTTAGTAATCGCAATGATTTAAAAATCTCCGGTGTTTGACCTTTATCTTTGTCATTTATCGTTTGTTGTATGAGATTTTGGCTTGTAACGGTGTGATTTTCCGAATAAAACTGGAAATGTTTTAAATTAGGCAAATCGGAAATGAAACAACAATTTATAGCATCAGATTGATATTTAAGCATGTAGATATAAATGGTCTGGTATTTTCATCTTTATAAAACTTATTAGTAAAAAATTACAAGGACATTCGTATGATTGGAAAAACAAATTAGACCCGGAAAATATGAAACGTTCTTAAATTAGTTGTAATCTACATTTCTGGTTTTACTGCTGGATCCTTTTAATTAATCTAATTATGTCACTATTGATAAATTGAACGTACCGAATAAGTATAAGGCAATTGGAATAAAACATAGAATTAAATTAAACAACTTTTTCTTAACATAGTACATTTTATGTAACACATCTATCACTAACTAAAAGATACATCATCATATTAGAAAGTTCTGTCTTGTGTCCTGGTCCACCCAATATTTAACTTCATGTAACTTTATTTAATGTAAAATAATAACGCAAAAATATCTGTTACTTTGTCTAAATCGGGAGGGTTTAGTGAAAAATAGCATGCGCATCAACAGGGGATGGAATAAAAGAGTCTAAGACATTCTTTACTTTTCTAAATGCGTACACAATATACTAATAGTCACAGAAGCCAAGGAATGTGGCATTATATGTGTAATTTTACATGGTAATTTTTTACAGAACTCTAGGCGTCTTGGGTTATACGTATGGAGTTTGGCCCATACAAAAAAGTTACCTACACGTTCCTGCGAGCAAGACACAAATAAGTTTTCCATCATAATTAAAAGTTCTGCGAGCTTAATATTATTATTTCTGACGTTTGATGGTTTTCCAAATGCAATTATCTATTAGTTTAAATTCTCGAAAAATAACGCTTTTATTTCCTTGAACTTTGACTTTCAGAAAATTCAACGTATTCGCATATTATGTAGAGGTACCTAATTAAAATAAACACGAATTTTCTTAGAACCACTTACTTGCATCAGCATAGGCCGCTACTCTATTCCAAATCTCCATTTGGCAGAAAATTAACATAATTACAATTATCACAGACATATTAACAATAATAATAATAATAATAATTAATTACAAAACTAGGACACTTATTCACGTTAAAAGAACGCGTAGGCTTTTTTTCTACATTTTTGAATCGTTCAATTGTTGAATGAACTTTTCACACTGGCACACTGTGTTTTCACTAATCGCAAATTGGTTGCATGTTCAGATTGAAATTCGCGCACGAATTTGCTGTTTCATCAACCGACGGCTGCTGATGTCAATGTTGATCATTCGTGGATTTGCAGCAAGGAAAGAAAAACAATGCGAGAGGTGGAAACCCAACCGGTGTTCTCTCGACTAGTTTTACGATTAGTTCATCACACAACGTTCCAACTTCGTACTTTATAATAAGAATAAGAAACTTGCTGCACGTATAATCTGTACCGCGAGCGATCACTTATTAAGCTTGAATACCGCTAGCTGGACTCTGTCCAGTTCTTCTTCCCCTCCGAGCTCAACTCAAACCGTTATCAATCGAAATTGATAAAATATAATATAAACGCTACCATACATCGACATGCAAACAATTTGTACATAGAATTAAGCAGATATTTCCAACTTTACTTTTTGTTACAAAAGTAATTTTAATTTTATCGTTTTATTATTACAAAATTTTAAAATACTTTATTTAGATTTTATTAAGATCGTCCTTTACTTTTATTTTTACGAGTGTATTTATTTTCTTTTTGATGTTTAAAATTTGTATTAGGTATACTTTGCTATTAGGTAGGAGTTGTTGCCATCATTTTTTTTAACCGAAATTTTTTACAATTTCCATTTCTTCTTCCTATTTAACATATACAGAAATTAATGCCAGATAAATAACAAAAAAATAATCTAAAGTTTCATCTAGAATTTATGATACTGTGTGATGGTTTGCATCACTCAGAAAGCCTGTAAAAATATATTGTATTTCCTCATTCGAAATCCGGGATTCAACATAGTTTTAGAACTTTTGTCATTGAAAATTGCTTTCAGCCCTTTCAGTGATTAAAAATGCTGTAATAATTTTCACGAACAAGTATAGTTACGGGATTATCGTTAGTCAACAAATTACTTCATAGAAGTACTTTGCAATTTTTAATTTTTCTTTCAATCTACTTGAAGCACATTTTAAAAAGTGCTTAGGAATTAGAATCTAATAGTTGCTTTCCAAGTAATTAATGGCAAGTCCTTGGATTTTAAAATGTTATTTGACCTTCAAGGGTTAAAGAACTTTACGTAAGCTCTTTTGGCTCTTAATACAGAAAACATATTTGTGCCCTGACACCCTAGTTTGCGTCCCTGAAAACAATATATTCGTGTTTTATCTAAAAATGCCATTGAATAAAACATTTTTTGATTGTAAATTTATTCTTAATAATTTGAATTTTCAACGAATATTAATGAGACTACTTTCTTAAAACTTCTGTAATTTTAAGTAATTTCACATACCACATTTAAAGGTAATTTATAATTAATTGCTTTACAAATTTTCAATAAACACCATAAGTTTAACCCTTCCGATAAACATCGGAGCAAATTTAAATATTTGCCTACCTGCAAATTACATCAAGTTTACTTTTAAAAGGAAATATTTTGTTTACCATTAGTGAAATTTACCTTCACCTTGTTAGTTATATGTGAATGTGATGGCCAGGCAAAAACTGTATTTATTAATCGTTAGTATTTTATACCTTCTTCATTGGCATTAAAATATTTTTATAGCCACGGTGATATTCAAATACTTGATAGTCCGAAAGTTCAAAGAGTAAACTTGCTGCAGTATCATTTTTTTTTAAGTAATCATAAAATAAGTAAAAGTAAAACTAAAATACTGGTATGCAAGGGAAGAAGAAGTAGGGAAAGAGACAAAAATTAAAAGAAGTGGCTGACTTTAGGTATCTAGGAAGTCAGACAAGTCAGGACGGAAGGAGTAGTAGGGGTGTAAAGCAGAGGATAGCGCAGGGTCGCGAATGGTTAATTGAGAAATTCGAAAAAGGTTGTTAAAAGTGTATTTTTGGAGCGCGACGCTGTACGAGTGCAAAATATAGACAGTGGGCACGGCGGAAAAGAAAAGGTTAGAAGCGTTCGAAATGTGGTGTATGATGAGGATAACGTGGATAGAGAAGGTTAGAAATGAAGAGGTATTAGAAGCAATAGGAGAACAGAGGACTCCATGGATGTCAATAAGAAATAGGTGAGATAGGTTGGTAGGACATCTTCTCAGGCATGAAGGTCTAGTCAGTCATATTAGGCAGAAGCAGGAGTTAGGAAGGGTAGAGATAGACCTAGTTTAGATTACTGTTCGCAAATAGTAAGGGATGTGGGTTGTTCTAGTTTTAGGGAAATGCGAAGTTTAGCTCAGGATAGGAAAGAGTGGAGGTACGTGTCCAACCAGTCTTAGGTCTGACGACCTTATGATGATGATGATGATGATAATGAATCATAAAAAACTAATAATAAGAAAATTGAAGGGTAATATTATTTTGCAATTAAGAAGAATTCAATTGAACTTTTCATTCACGATTGCTCAATTCTCAGACTCTGAGACAGCCCAGTATCATTTTCAATTTCTGTGAATAACAGCTTATTTAATAAATACATATGGATATATATAGTGAGTACACTGGAATATTGGATAAATAATGTTGTTAAACCAATTTAAAATAGCGTTATTAAAAATGTGAATATTTCTCAGAAACAACGTTAACAAAATTAGCAAATTATTTTTTCATAAATATAAGATTTGGTAGATATTCAGAAAAAAACTATTCGAAAAGATTGAACTTTTTGAAATTGAAAGTTATTGTTTTCTTATAACAAAAAAGTGTTAGATGCAAAACATAACGTATAATTATCTTTTCAATGAGTAATATCAAAGTTAGTTAACC